AAGGAATCAAATTTTGCAGGATCTCAATGTATAAAGAACTTTTAGATTCGAATACTGTAAGTGTAAATTAACGGGACAAAATTTCTTCTTATCTAAACTGGAATATTTTTATATTGTATCCTTCTTTTTTCTTCTTTCTTTTATTTTGATCAGAATGGGAGAAAATCCATGTGATATATTTGATTATAATTGATTTGCTGCAACAGTAAGTTAACTTACATTTTATGAAAACGGAGTAAACTCTACAAGGGCTATAATATATCGTATGGATCTTATCTACCACAGATCGTAATTTTTATTCTAGATTTATTGGGTTTCTATCAGAGTCTCTGTATTTAAAGTTCATTGAACTGAATTTTATAATATATATACAGCAAACAAGAAATTCAGTTTAATGAACCTCAAAAAATCTAATAATATAAAATGAGCTAACCCAGTTTGTTGCAGCAAACCTTTTAATTCTTAGTTTTTGTAAAAATGGAGTAAATAAATTTCTAAGTTAAAGTAATGATAAAACTACTAAATATTGTGAGGCTAATCCACAATGTAAAATTGATATTTTTTTCGAAAGAAACTCCTTGTTTGCTATCGCATTATTGGCATTATGAAATTCATTTCAATGAATCTGATTAAATTTAGAGACTCTCCAATAGAAGGCCAATAAGCCTGTAAGGATCAAAAGTTACGATCTGTGGTAGCTAAGATCCATACGATATATTATAGTCCTTGTAGAGATCTATAAGACAAAAGGGAAAGAAATAAAGATGCGGTCTCAGGTCTTTCGTGAAATGACTCGACACCGCGCCGGCAGGAAGGGCGAGACGGACGAGCAGGCGGGTGGACGGGCGGGAGGAGGCAAGAAGAAGAAGAAGCGAGCAGTGGCCGTGGAGAGGAACGGGCGGACTCGCGCTTTGGAATGCTTTGAAAGGCCGCGAGCAGCTCTCTTGGCTAGAGCTGCTCGTTGGCTGTGAAGCGAAGGGAGAAAAAGCAAAAGAGGAAGAGAGGCTGTCGGGGACGGTCTTGCTTCAATTAATTACCACATTGTCGTGCGGCCAACCGGCGCTGGATGTTCCACCGTTGGTAATCTATGGAAGACCCTCTTGCTCCTTGATTTAATCTCCTACGCGCTCTCGACCCCGCGAGCGGCGAATTTCGCACGGCGCAATCGAACGGGCATCGATGGCGTTAAGTAAAAAATAATTACAGTCTCTGATAAATTATCGAAAGATAATCTTCCAGTTTTTCTTTCTTCCAAAGAAAGTTGTCTTATTCTTGTTGATATTCTTATGCTTTTCACAATTTTTTTATTTTTTTTTATTTTTTTTTTTTCCAAAATATATCTCTTTAGAATCAAGCAAAGTTCCAAATGTGATAAAATAGGAACTATTGATTTTAGATCAACTAAGTAAGAAGAAGCTCCAATTATACGGTCAAAGTTATAGATGTGTCGAAATAATAATTCTATGTGTAATTTCTTTTAAATACATTTACTTCAGATATATGATTGCGTGCCGATTTTCGGACTTGCAATAATCAAACTGAAATAATAATCTCACAAATTAGATTTGATCATCAATTTAAAGAATTATTAATTTTAGAATTTTCAGTAGCTTAATTAGTAAATCCTAATTACTCATAGATTCTTCAATTTATATTCACGAACTATATTATCAATTTAAACAGAGCTATTTGCGTGTGCTATTTTAATAATTACACAAGCGGCATAGTTCTCAAGATGGTACTTTGTAATCGTGCAAAGCAAACCGCACAAATTGCTACAAGGCGGTATGTGTAGGTGTGTTGCGCCGAGCTTAAAGCTCTTCTGGTTTTCATCGCGAACCGCCTACCAATCAACAGTTGCAAAGCCATGATGACAAGCGGATATACCTTCATTCGACGACGCCTACCTCCAGGTCATCGCTCGTCATCACTTTGTGCATCATGGCGATGATGTACTGCACCATGAAACGACCGGGCTCGAGTTTATTGGCGTAGATAACGATAGCATCTCTCGCGGGCGTAGTCGTTAGTCTTTTTCCTCCTCTTCATCGTGTCTCCTTTGCTCTCATACCCGCGCATCCTTCCGTCGACTGGTGCATACATCACCGTCAGCTTATTTCCGTGCACCGCTGATGCATGCACGTAATTGGTTAGGCGGGGTAGCAAACGAAACGCTCGGCTCGTCGTTCTCCACCGATCCGTAGGCAAGGAAAGCACCATTCGCAGTGATTTGTTGGACATCGACACGCATTTTTACTCCCGCAAAATCGAAGAACTAAGAAATATATCTTGATAAAATCACTGTTGGACAACTTTAAATAATAATATGCATCTATCTTATAATAATAAATATTCGTTGCAGGAAAAGACGCTGCAGGATTTTGTTGAAATATCTAAAAACTTAATAAATAATCGATCTGAAAATAATTTTGTTGGATCTTCAAACAATTACATCATAGAATGTCTGAACTCTTTATAATCATGTTTGAGATTCTTACATAATTATTTTAACAGTCCACAATTATTTTCCGATCCGTATCTAGCTGAATGTTTAGATACTTAAAAAAAAACTTATTCTTTTCGTAGTTATTTAATGATTAAAATTAAATGACAGAGATTAGGATGACCTATTAAATTCAAATTTAATATGATTTTTAATTTTTTAGTAATAAATGTCTTTACAATTGAAATTCTCATTTTTACTAAAAAAATTGTCTGAGAAATCGAATTAGTTTCATATTATCTAATAATTATCATCGATGATTTCTACAAAAAGATCGCGCGACGACCGAAGGGGTTGGACTAATGGACCACTACGGTGTCGAATTCTGGCGCGCGGACAACGTGGAAGTCAATGGGCCGTCCGCTGTTCCCGTCGTCGACATTCTCTTTATAGCGCGCGAGAAAACGCATGGCCCCGATGTCACGCGGAAAATCCCGGCTATCGCCGTTAAAATGCGCCGGTATTTACGCGCTCGTATTTCTCTTGTCGTCCCATCATCACGATCACTGCGCCACGCGAGCAATGCAATCGTCGGCCACTCTTCTCCTTGGCTCACACGATTTGCCGCTCGAGAATTTTGTCGATCGACGACAAGGGTGTTAACGTTTTAGAGGATAGAAGGTGATTGAGAAGTACGTCGAAAATCTACGAGTAGAACAACGACTGTACGAAGAAACATTATGTATACAGAATATTCTGTTATCACTATACTTGTCAAAATTTGATCGAACAAGAATATTTTCATAGGTGTAAATATACCTGTTTTTGAATACAGGAAAGAATTTGTTTCCATCAAAACTGTTTATTTTTTAACAACCAAAGATTTATATAATAAAAAACTTTGTTGCTTCTATAAAATATATTTTTTTGCTTTGTAAATAACAAAAATATTTATTTACGTCAAGTAAACAATTTAGGTGCAAAATTATAATTTTATTCGTTAAATTTTAATAAAAAAGTTTTGTTCTCGATACATTTCGATCAAATTTTTCTTATGGCAAAATTTTGATTCATAAAACAAAATATTTTTCCTATTGAAGTGTTCATAATTAAGAAAAAATCGAAAGTTAGAATTAGAATTGAAGAAACGTTTGGAACAATTGAAAATTTCAAATTATTCTACAACGGTATTCTACAACTTTAATTTCTTGGAATTCAAGATCTGGAATTTAAAGAGATTTTCTAGTGTTTTTCTTCGCTTTTATTCTTTAATGTTTTATTTTTGATTTATCATGACGCTCGTGATTTATTAAAGATCGTACGCCATATAAACTATACATCAATCGACCAATTAAACTAGTTAACTGATAATTATTACGATTCGCGAAGTGCTAAGGAATAACCGGTTAACTGGTATCATTAATGTGTTAATCGGTAAACAGCACGATCGTGTGCGACATTCGCATAAAAGCAATTACGATTCTTCCCAACGAAAAATCTTTCATAAGAATTCATTCACTTTAATTAGTCATTTTTATTTTACTCTTGTCGTCAACCGCTGCATTTTACAAAAAAGAAGATAGCACTCTTTTACAGAGTGAAATCAGTGAAATAAAAGTTACTAATAGAAATGTAATGATAGAAGTTTACAATCTATGTTTGTAAGAAAAAAAAGATAGATATTTAAAGGCAAGTTTATAAATATATATTTTAGAAAAAAATGTCGCAACATATACGTATTATATATAGTAGCTCATAAATTTCAGCCAATATATAATTTAACAATAATTTTGTCAATCTGTTTTTCAATTAATATTATAAATTAATAAAATTCTTGTTATTATTAACTTAAAAATTCGATATATTGACGATGGATTTGTGAAGCTTATTTAATTTATGGTGGCTAAAAGACACTAATTAATTTCAAATGATTCGTAAAAGAGAATGAATTCTAAGTTTGTTTTAATAAGAATAATTTAAATTTGCAGATGTAATATAAAGAATATAATTGAGTAGATTCAATAAAGCCACTGTAGCTTCGAAAGATTAAATATAGTATACAAGAAAAAGATTTCGCTGAAATATTTCAAAATATAGATAGATCTGAGAATAATTTTATTGAAGCATTAAAATAATTATGTAGGATACTCAAACTGATCGCTAGAATGTCAAAACATTTTGTAGCATTATTTATCATACTTAAGTTTTCTACGTAATTATTTTAATGATCCAACAACATTATTTTCAACCTGTATCTAATTAAACTTTCAAATATTTCAGCAAAATTGTTCTTTCTGTGCAATTCAAAAATTAAAAGACATTGCATGATCTAAGGCTCCATTATTTATTAAGCCATTATTTGTTAAGTCGCTTAAAAGTCAGCAGAATCTTAATTAAATATATCATTTTTAATTTTATATATGTAATGTAATCCAGAAATGTCCTTACAATTAGACGTAAAAATCATAGATTTAAAATTTTTGTTTAAAATCTCTAGTATAATAAAATTCTAAAAATCGACGATGTTGCATACGAGACTAATTGCTTGTTATTACAGCTGAATGTGCATCAAAGGTCTTTGGAAGCAGCCGGTATCGAGCTTTGCGGCGCCGGCGGAAGCGTCCCTCAAGGTCAACCGAGCAGTGCAGGTTCCGTAGGGTCCGCGCCGAGTCCTGCGTCCCCAAGGCCAACGCCGCAACCGCGACCACCCCTTGCAACCACCACCTCGCAACCCTCGCGAACGTTGGACGACGACAGATCGACAGACGGTGAGACGATTAATTGTCTCGGTTTACAGCAACGTGTGTATCGTCACGTGAACACCTGCGTATTAATACACCGGCTCGCAGGCGTGGGTGCCGGTACGACCGAGGACTCCGACGATGGCGAGAGCAGAGCGCAGTACGTTAACGCGAATTGCGTCGTGTTTACGCATTATCGAGGCGACGCGGCGTCAGAAGTGGAGGAACACTTTCAAAGGGCCCTCGCACACGATAAATTAAAGGGTAAGATGCCAAATATGATTATCTTTCTCGATTTGTTTTAGAGGAAAGTAACTTATTAAAAAAATACAAACGTTTTAAGAAATATGAATGTAGATTTAACACTATGGGGATTAAATACAATATAATTCTCACTGTGTTGGTGTTGGCATATATACGTAATATCAATCTCCATTGAGATTGAAAAATGGATGGACCACAAAATTCGAGCATTCCATTTAGAATTCAAAACAATTTAAAACACACAAACATGATATGGATTTAACATCTTTATTTAAATAATGTTAATACTGACATAGTGTTGAATTCACGCACATATTTTTTAGAGCGTATGTACAATTATTCAAGAATTTTAAATACAATTGTTTTTTGAATTCTAAATGGATTGGAATTTACTTTATTCATGGTATCAATCGTGATGCTTGAATTTTATGGTCCATCCATTTTTCAATCTCAATGAAGTCGAAACGTTTCGACAACGAAATGTTTTCGAAAGTGAGTAATAAAGTACGCCATTAGGCGGCGACAAGGCTAACAAGCCTCGTGACAATTGTAGCTCGCTCGTACTCGCGTCGACTTAAATCGCGAGCAGGGCAGGGTAGGCCAGTGAGGAGAAAAGAGCAGAAGGAGAACATCTCGACCGCAGGGGAGGACGAAGGGAAGATTGTCAGCACGCGAGCGGGTTTGGCAAGCGATCGGCAAGCTCGTCTATATCGGTGTCGTTTAAGGCCGCATTTATCCCGACCACAGTGCGCCGAGGATCAGTTCAGTAGCCTGCTTAGAATTCAAGACAACACGACCTAATTGTTACGCCTCACCACTTCCCTCTCACCCTCTTTCCTCGCTCATCGTTCCCTCTCTTCTGCTTGCGCTCTAACTTCCCGCGACCGTGCTCGTACGAATGGTAAATTAAGAGCTTCTGCTCTGGGAAAAGAGGGATGGTGGAGAAGCGCTGAGGAAAGACATTGTGAGGGAAAGGTAGGCGGGGAGTGGAGCATGGAGAGGCGACATCGCGGGAGACAGTTTTAGCCGCGGAATGCCGGGTAACGTACGTACAAGGACCGAACGCGACTTTGAGCCTAAAACGCGCACGCTGAGAAAACAAAGAGAATGGAAGAAAAGAGATAGAGAGAGAAAAGAGTTACTTTCGGAATTAAAAAGGAATTCGAGTAATTGGCTTGAAAAAATATGGTGGGTTCCGGTTTGAAACAAACAGAAATTATTTTGCGTAAAAAGATAGAGTTATTTTGAGGGTTGTGTACAAATTGAGAGAAGTTATATATCTATACTTACCTAATTAAATAAATTTAGTATATAAAAATGTGCTAATAAAATACTTCAAAAGTACTTTTAAACTTACCCTTTGATTATTTTCATATGAAGAAAATAAATTTTATTAAATAATGTAATTAATTATTTTAACAGAGTGGTAATCAGAAGTCAATATTTCAATTATATGTATATTATACAGGATGAATCAAAGTAATTAATTCAGTTCTTTAGCCTATGAGGGATTGCTAATCTGAGCGCATTGAGAAAAAAGCGCATATATTTTTAATATTTTCATATAATAAAAATAAAATTAACAATTTTTTTACAACTCAACGTCAAACGTGTCTGTTTTCGCGTTCAAACCAGCAGTTCGCACGATGTTATCCACACATTCGATCGGTATCGTAAAGTTGATAATTAGATATGTGAATGATAATTTTTTCATAGGATAAAAACTGGTTCAACTACTCTGATTCATTCTGTGTATATATATATATATATATATAATAATAATTATAATAATAATAATAATAATATCCTAAAAATATTTTGCTATCTAAGGACCAAGGGTGGACGCGATTGCGAAAACGGTATCGAGAGTCGCAAGTCGTCGATTAAAACGTCGGCGTTTTCTGAAGTTCTAAGGAACACGCGGGTACTTATTGGCTAACCAGACTTCGACAACCCTTTCTACCCCCTCTTCTCCCTCGCTCCGTTCTCCTCCACGTAGAGCGATACCCTTTCTCTCTTTGGTCGCGGCATCGGCAAAGAATAAAGCCGGCTGCAGACGGTCGACACTCTGTTTCTTTAATTGCGTTAATAAATAAAGGACAGTCGGCGAACCGAGACCGAGGCAGATACTAGAGAGAGGCCGCAAACGGTCCCACGACGTCCTCAGCCCTGTCTATCCCTGTCTATCTCAAGAATTACAGGATCATATTTGTGATGATAATACATATATGACTATACACTACAATATTTATTTTATAATTATCTCTTTAATTATACTTTACAAAAGTGCAACATATATGTAACATATTACAATACATTAAGCTAATGGCAAATAATTTTTTAAATTAACTTTTATATTTATTATTAATAAAGTAAAATCTTTTTATTAATTCTGAAAGAAGCTCGATAGAATGTTTGATAGCGTGACATTTTTTATACAATTTCTTTCTTTCAATATTTTTAAAAATATTATTTTATTAAGCAAAAAGGATACATCTGTTGATCGAGATACAATCTTGATGGAAAATCGATCGACAAGCAGAAATCAATTTAATTTATAGCTCATTTGTAGATACTTCAAACTTGCACGATTAATTAATCGTACGTGTTATAAAACTTCATGACTCGCCGTTTATGTAAGACCCGGTATTTCAATGTTGATTTACCGGTTAGGTTACTGCAACTGTTGTGATAAAATGTTCGATCTCGCGTCGTAATTTATATAATAAAAATTATTTGTTTATCTGTGGCAAGTGTGATCTATAAAAATGTAAGATATCACGTCATCTTGTCAAAGAATTTCTTTGATGAAAAATTATTCTACGAATATCGATTAGTGTTTTTTTTTATAGGTAATTAATGATAAATAACTTTATTAAAATTTTTATTGCATGCAATAAGTCGATAATATAATATATTGCAATATAAAATAATAATATGGCTCAATCAGAATAAATTAATATAAATAAATAGAAGGACTACAAGCCAGATTAAAAACAAATTAAGAACATTTAATATTCAGAAAATAAATATAAAGAAGTACAATAACAAATGTTTTGATGCCGATCGGGTTCTCCTATTTCTCAATATTAAATTTAAAAAGTTAAAATATTACATACAGTTGTCAAGTATTAAAATTTATATTGCTGATACATATCGGATATTCTTTCGTTCTTAGATGCATGTGATGTTAGACGTTGAAATCGCTTAGTTTTCTGTGATTGCTCTACTAATGATAATTTCATTTTCTTTTCTTTGTATAACTAATAATCTTATTTAATCAAACTTTTGTGAGTCAAACGGTAAAAAGAGAAAACGCAGTAATTATTAAATCCAATCAAAGCAATGTATCTTAGACAATATCGGACAGCGTTATCAATGTTATAATATATAAATGTTGTAATATATTGTTCTATATTGTAATACCTAAATTATCATAATTATTATCATATTAATATCATATGTATTATGTGATTTATTATCATACATTATCATAATCATATATTATGTGACACATTATTAATTGCAAATTAGCATTATTTTAGGCAATTAATTAATGTACGTATGATAATAACAGCTTGATCAATTCTTTTGATTGATTCTTTATTAAAATATAATATATTCGTTCCCACGATTCCGAAAGACTTCTCTAAACGGGCAGGCAGAATCCCACGGGACGAAATCGGCGGAAGGCAGAAGAGTACCGCTTGGTTGTTTTACAAGCGGCCACTTCGAAGCCAGAAGCTTGTCGTGTATCCTCCTGCAATCCTCTCGCGCGGTCCTCGCTCACGTTGGATTCTTTTCTTCTTTTCTACTCTTTTTTTTTCTTTTCTTTTTTAATCCATCCCCAACCAATCGGAACGCGCGACCGAAGGTTGTGGACCAACGCGAGGTCGACCGTGCCGGTCCACGATTTATGCCCTCTAATTCCCTCCCCTCTCGCGCGCGCGCGCGCACGCATGTACGCGATTTCATCTCCGGCTAAGTCGCTTCGATTATCTGCTAGGAGAGGCATACCGGCTGCTAATTTACTCCGCCGTTACAAACTACGATGATTTAGTCGGCCAGCGACGTTATTTATTCCCGCTAGTTAGGACGAGTGGTTTCTGGTGGAAGCGCGATCGCTTGGAACCCGTTTTCCGGGGGAGAGGATATCTCCTCGCAGAGAGAGAAACAACGAGTTATCGGTAGTATTCATCACTTGAGGATCATCGCTTTGGCACCAGTATTTATAGCACTGCTTGTGCTTGCCCTGAAAACCGTTCTTTTTTTTTTTTTTTCGACAATGTACGACTCGCGCTTCTAAACAGGAAAAATAAGAATAGCACGATATTTAGCAGCAGAGAATAGAATGTTCTCCGATCAGATTCCGACGGAGAGGCGCCGAGTCGCACGCGCTCGAGAAAGGTTACATAAACAACCGGTGGGACCTCTCGATCGCTCTACCCTGATGTTTTCTGAGGGCAAAATAAGAATTTTATATAGAAAAATTAAAAAGACCGTTTCTCTCTTTTTTTTTTCTCTTTCTCTCCAAGAATTTCTCGTAGACGCATGTTTTCTCGCGCAAGTTATTAAAAGCGCCGTCATTGTAAAATTGTTTTCTTTTTTATTGCAGAAAATATCTCCCCTATGTCCATGAGGAACTTTCCCCCTTCCTTTTGGAATAGTCAGCATCCCAGTGATGTCTACGAGTACCCGACGGATCCGTGGCATTCGCATTACCCGCAGTACCATCACAGGTCAGTGCTACCGATCGCTGTTGTTGTTCTCTATTTTTTCTATCTCTCCTCTCTCTCTCTCTCTCTCTATTTCTATCTTTTTTCCATTTTACATAAATGGCATAGTTTCCTTTTTCCCGTTGTTTAATAGACATTCTTTAGAAAGTTGTGCTTTACAATATCGACGCCCTGTCTCATTGATTCTTGATCGTGCGCGCATCAAGTAATTGCGTGTAACTCCAGCATCTCGTCACACCGTAGAGACGTAAAACCGAAACTACATGCTGGGAATTTTTCCTGTGAGCGCGCCATTAAATACTATATAGTTCATTAATTAGCGAGACGAGAATTTTTTAAACACGATCTTTAGCCGTGTTGAATTAACTATTATTATATTAACGATAACTTATTATTTCTGTTATCTTTCTTTCTCATAGCTGCACGTTGATTCGTGTTTCTACGTTCTTAAAGCGTGACATCGTTGATATTGAAATTCGACATTGAACGAACCAACGAACTGATTTTGGAGCGACAACTGTCGTTAGAACAAAAGGAAGTGAAGAGAAAGAAATGATAAAAGAGTTACGCGCTACATATGGGAGAGTGGAATAAAGTAAATTAAAACAAAAGAAAAAAAAAGAAGTCGCTGATACCTTCTATCCTCTTCCTACGGCAACGGTGACAGAATTTGTAATTTATAGATGTAGTCAGATCAGTGCTAAAGATCTCGGTGTTACCTGCTCCCGACGGTTTTTAGTATTTTTCACATACCTGTGCTCTTCGTTTTCGCTTTTAAATCCATGTCGCTATCCTTCTTCCACTTCTTTCTTTTGCTTTCTCCTTTTACCTTACCCCTTTGAGATTGGCATCGAGTACTGATGACATATATTATTTTCTAATTCTCATCGATCGCGACTATATCGACATGCTGAGAACCATGATGCTATTTTTATGTGCTGATTTGGCGCAATATATCTCCCTGTATCTCCGTGCGCCAAAACGCTACACGTCAGTAGTTAATTTTATTCATATTTGACCCGAAAAGTACATTTCGCAGCGCGTTAATTTTTTTCACGCCACAAATCATTTCCTTCTTGTAATGAGAATTTTCCTACGCCTTCTTTTCTTTTTAGGGCCGTGCACGAATACCATCACCACAATATGGCAGCAGCGGCGAGTTACAGTGGCCTTCTGCTGGGTGGTGCACGCGGCCTCGGCCACCATACGTCTCATCACGCGGCGCATCACGCGCACGCCGCGACCTACAAGGAATGGACGTCGGCGACGCCGTCGCAATCCCTCGTCGACGCTTCCTCGGCGCCGCCCTATCCTCACGGCCACTACGCACCTCTCTCCGGTAAGTAAGTAGACTTTTCCATGTTCGGTTTCACCAACGGCGAATGTGGACATTCAGGTAAAGGTCCGTTCTAAGAGAACGCGCACGCAGAATATGTGAAATATTCACGATATTTACTTTCTGAGATTCGCGAAAAATAAATTGTCAGTTTAATAAATAGCGGTCGCGTTCGTTGTTGGAGAGACTGGTTCGCGAGATTATCGCGTTTTCTTTTAGTTTCATAAGAATAAATAGCCTCGGGTTCTTAATATTAATTTTAAGAAAAAAGAAGAAAGAGAAAGATTTTCGTCGAGTGATCAAATCAAATGTGAAACAATACGTACGTTGTCTCTGATCTGTTTTTATTTCTCAGCGAAATAATCGTCAACATTTTTCCCTTAAATAACGTTTACAATTCAACTCGTAAATTTCAGATCTCTATAAGAATTATAAAATTATTAATAAAATTATTTAAGAGAAAGACTCTTTGTAAGTACTTACGTCCCTATTCTGTAACTCTTAATGACATTGTCTGTATTGTTATATTGTTATTGCATAGGTTTTTCATGTAGGTATATATAAAACATACATGCGCAACGACATTGTCATTAATAAGTTAGAATAAGAGTTTCATTCTCGGATTTCTAATATTCGTTTCTGATTTATTACACCGCCGCGATCCCCATTGCATCTGATATACTTGCATATTGTCGGCATATTGACGGCGTATCAAAGATCCTACTGTATCCTGACTGTGTCGAGCGACAGCAGGATGGAGTTTTGTTCGGAATGGCGCGCAGGTAGCGCAAGAAAGATCAGTCGGTCCCTCAGATGCTCGCAATTAATAAAGGCTTAATGGGAGCCGCGATCCATACGGTGTCCTCTTTCGGCTCGGCGTTCACCCACCAAAATCGTCCTCAGGACAAAAAGCCGCGGACGCATCCGCAAAACATCTAGCTCCTGCCGCCGCGTCGACAGGATCCCGTCGTATATACCTTCGTTCCTTGAACGCGCCGCTCCTCTGTCGGTGAATTATGCGAAGCAGAAAAATAGCGTTAAATTATGCGGTATAGAAAAATGGTATTTTTGTTCATCTCCGATTTAATTTTTCATATTGTTTGCGAGGAAAAGCCACCGAGAAATTTAAAGAATTTTTAGTCCTGTGCGTGCAGAGCACAGATTTGGTACGTTATAAAATAAGGTTTGAAATGAATAGATAATCTGAAATGAATTTAAACTAAATTAATATTAGATCGTATGTAAATAATAATAATTAAATATTAGAGGAATGTGTTTAAAATATTGAATACAATTAAATTATTAAATAATAGCTATATATGTGATATAGTTATTCAAACGTTTATATTTTATTTTCTATATGTTTGAAAGAGGAGGAGGGAAAATATTTATTCTGAATTTTTATTTTATCACAAATCAAATCGAATAATTGATTTCTCAGTAAAAGTGACAGAATCCGACTGTGCAGAGTTTTACCCCATGTGATGCAGTTGCAGTAAGCCGTGAAAAACCACGCCCATTGTGATTACAGAGACCACTCCCATCTGTCTGCACCCTGATGCAGCTTACACGCCTTCTCTTCACCTTGAAGCAGTCGCACAATTTCGCATATGATCTTTGAAATTTTCTGAGATACGCTATTCTGCGAACGACGTGTTGGAATTCTCGTTATTTTTATAACCTTGTTCCTATTTCTATTTTCTTCGACTTTGTGCTTTCAATTAGGATGTATATATATATATATATATATATTGCATCTAAATATATCTTTCGTTCGTTACTTTATTTACTTTACATTCTATAGTTTTCACATTTCTTGTGATGCATGGTTTTTTCGAATTGTAAATTTCTCAACTTCTTGATCTAATTTTACATTCCTCGACTTTGCTTATAATGAAATCCGGAAGTGCACGTTATCTATACACTTTCGTACAAATTCTTAGATCGTCCAAATCTCATCTAACTTTCACAGCTGCCAAGATCCTAGGCTGCTGAATTCCGTTTCTCTTAGACGAAAAGCATGGCTGCCAAGCACGGGAACAGTGACATCCATCCCAAGAAGGGAGAAGAGGTCTAGTATCGATTTTGTACCCTCACTTTGCTTTACATCGAGACCAAGCATCGTGCCGCAAAATGAATCCCAACCCTCTTACAGTTCTCTTTCATTCGAACAGCGGAACATTGTGGAATAAAAATAAATACTATGAACTTAATGTTTTGTGTCTATAAAAGAAAAGAGTTACATAAGTAACAAATTAGTTTATAATTTAGAAGGGGAAGAGTATTTTTTAAGATAAGAAAATAAAAAATTGTTGCCATATCCTTTTTCTGTTGTGACTCACACATTGACATTGATAAGACAAATTCCAATTGTTAGTTCTTCAAAATTATGAATATATGAAATTTATATAAAAATATAAAGTTTTATTAAAAAGCATAAACCTAATCGTTATTAATTTACTAAAATAACCTCACAATTGTGAGTTTGTTTGTGAAGAATTTAGGTAACAGAAATTCGTGTTCTGATCAAGAAACTCGTGAAAGAGTAATAGAGGGTGAAACGAGCGCTGGGTTGAACCAGTAGGGGTGAATTGGTGCGCGCAAAGTCTCTGAAGTATCTTTAAATTTAAGTGCCGCCATTACGGCGCTCGGCTCGGCAAACCGATTAGGTTCGCTGCCTGCGCGATGGCCGCCGCGCTCAATAATTATATAATTGCACGAAATTAACTCGAACCGTATAAATTGGCTGCCGTTTACGCAGTGATTAAGAGAAATAAATCGCAATTACCGGATGACGCGCCCGCGTCTTAACATGGCGATGTCTTCGCATGCATCACGCTGCTTTTATTTTGCGGCTTGTCGCTGCTGTTTCCCGTGGGAAGTCGTCACGTTAGCTTCGTCATGAGAGATGTTGTCGATATTGCAAAGCGATCAATTACTTCACCGAGAAAAATTTATGGTTGAAAATGAACGAACTAAAAGATTCTGATCATATCAATCAGAAATTTGATTATTTCGCAACTAGAATCATATAGATTCAACCAGAAAATTCTGATTTATTCATTTTCAACCAGAATTTCAATTAATGCAACCAGATTTTTTCCAGTGTTAAATTCTAGTCTTGAAAAGATTTATCTAAAAAAAATCTTAATAAAAGTGAAAAACTGTTGCGTCATTTTACATTCAAACTTATTGTTAACTTTACTCAATTTTATATTTTTTTTTATATACTTGATATAACAAATCAAGTTTGTCGAATTTAAGTTTGTCGAATCGTTTATTTTCAGAAACTAAATTAATGTCTTATAATTAATAAGACTTCTAAGAGAACATTAATTTATCTTCTACAGAAAATAAGTCGATAAATTTGATACGTTGTCGACAATTATTTATTTCTCTACATGTGCAATCTAATCTTAGAGTTTTATTTTAAATAAATTAACTTAATTTTTCTAAAAGATTAAGCACCTTTTGAATAAGAATAATGTTGAACATGTATTGATACTGACTAGCTTAAGAACACGCGATAAAAAGAAATGAATTATATGTATTAATTTATTCAGACACGCATACGATTTTAATCTGTGGTCTGGTTTTAGATAAACAAGTTCAACATTCTTACCGTTCTGATAAATGAACTGTGTTCGGAATGCAGCGAACCCGAGGCAGGATCTAAAGATGCTATGGTTTAAACCATTTAGCAACTAAGATACCAGATTCTAAGGTATGCAAGTTTAAAGAGTATCATGGATTATCAAAATTAGAGTTTGTATGATCGGGATTCAGGCAATTTTAAGTAATTTTAATCAGTTATATTCAAACATCTCGTATTTATCTAAAAAAATTGGCTTAGGATTTAAAATAAATAAACATCAATTAACATAGAATTTAAGGGATCTAGAATGAGGAAGACTATGAAATCCAGCATAATTATGAAACATCAGAATTCAATTGATAGAATCTATGAAACTTTTAAGGTCCAACTTGGGGTACAAGATGATACTATGTATATATACACATGTATACAAATTTCTTTTTGGGTCTAGGACATTTTTCATAGAATTCGCACGACGTAATCCGTCTGTGCTCCCGTACGCTTTCTGGCACGCGCTTCGAAAATGGCGTCGTACAATGACGTCACGTAATTCACCGTTGCATGAGAAGAAGCCAGCCGGGGATGGCCAGTCATCCTCGATTGGTCAGCCTGCGAACGGAGGGAGTGGTCGAGCGGTTGCTGGTTATATCGATCTCTCGAATTGTACTTGCTTCTCTACGAACGAAGCGAACTAGACAGGTTGCCGCATTAGCGAATACGCGAGATTCATCGTGTTCTCTTCGCGCGTTGTTTTAGCTGTTTTTTTTATCCTTTTTCAATCTTTCGATCTAAAATCTTGCAATTCTTGATATTTTTACATTATTTTTTATATGTTTTTACATAAAGACTGTGTGAAGACATAAGATACATGTCCCTAAATTGAAGCTTTTACGTTATACACAAAAAAAATGTCAAAGTGTCGCGCTTTAAAATCAAGAAGTGTAAAATTCTTATTTGTAATCGTCAAGTCTAGATATCCTGCATTGATTTCCTCTATTGGTTTCCTCTATCATGTTTTTTTTTTGTTCTTTGATCTCCTCGCGTCTCTCGTTACACAAAATGTAAAACGAAGATGATCACCTTTCCGCCTGCGACCGCTTGAAAATCGCGTTCGACGTTTAGAAACAAGGGCATCGAGATTAAATTAAATCGAACACCCTCGCTCTGCAAAAAGTGAGGACTCGACCCTTTGCCATCTCTTCACCGGCGAGGGATGCGCGCAAGGGACGAGCATTGTGATGACCCTTATCAATGGGGGGAAGGGTCAGACCCCTCGCCGTCTGGAATCCAATATACTTGAACTCGTTGTAAGCCTGGTCGACTGGCGCCCCTCTTGAACCCGTATGCACTGATGAGCGACTATTAATTACAAATTAAACCTCTCAAATCTCCAGGATCAACGACGTGTGTTGGGCGCAATATTGCACGTGTTGAAACTGCCTCCTTCCTCCCTTAGATCAGCTCTAAATGAAAACGGAAAAACCACTTGTAAAGACAAAAGATCTGTTCAAGATCTTTTAGCTCAGAAAAATCAAATTTTCAAATTCGTATTCTAATAAAGATAAAAAGAGATTATTGTATATCATGTGAATAGAAATATATGCACACGGACAGAATGGTTTTAAATATTTAATATTTAATATTAAATATTAAATATTTAATGGTTTTAATTATTTTATACAGAATTGAAAACAATTTCCTTTGGACTATCAAAATAATTATGCAGAACGTTCAAACAAGTTGTTAGAATATTGAAACTTTTTGCAGCATTATTATCAACACTTAAGCATAAGTTTTACATAACTATTTTATTAATCCAAACAAAATTATTTTCAGATTTATATTTAATTAAATTTTTAGATATTTTAGCAAAACCGTTTTTTTTATGCGTAAGAATATTAATTATCAAATTTCAATTATCAAGAGCGATACTATACATATCTGAGAAAAAGAGTGACGGAAGTAACAAGATTCGATGAGGATTATACTTAAGGATTAAGTATAATGACTGAAATTGATATTTCGGCACATTCGGTCGTTATTTCACTCTGGGAATTAGGTATGTACCGTATCCCTCGTGCCGCATCTTGCTGCAAACACAGAGGGTGACTTCGTGGTAATATGGCAAACATCGAGCAATATTGTCCGGGTTATTCGACACACCATTTACCAAGCTGTCCCTTGCCTCGCCATTTTCCCAGCACCCTGAGCTATATATCGGTTTCGCATGTACCTACGGCGAATATGCGTTATATGTATAAGCAACTCGCATAAATCGTCCTAGCCGGTGACACTTATGGCGCATTATTCGCGGTATCGCAGGATGTATTGAATTAGGATGTCCTCCCACGAAGATTATACACCGGCGTTTCTGTTCAGGATTTCCGTGAGGGATTGACGATGTCACAAGAATTACTACAATGATCACTCTGAATTATTGCGTTTCTCAATAAGAGTTTCTATTATTAGTACAATAATTGTGAAGAGCTATAATTTTAAAATAAATTTGATTTATTTAGAACATTATATTATTAATATAATTATTCTTTTCCGATTTGATGATTTTATTGGTAATGACTTACTAATTATATTATTTTTTTTTGCTAGTAAATTATATATATTTTAAGAACGTGATAAGACGAAAAAATACTAAATATTAATTTATACTATTTAGCTGAATTGATGATTTTTGTATGGACTTCGTATAAAGATACTTCGCATAAAGATAGCGTTTCGTGAGAAAGGCACGTGCCGCGTTTATCATATTCTTAAGAAATGCAGAACGGGATGTTTCTGTTTGAAACCTCAAACGCACACAGATCAGCGAATACAAAGTTACGGACGGACGCACCTGTTATGAATGTTCCAACATTCAATATCGCGATATCAAAGAGCATTGCGAGATCCCGCGCGAAGGAATTCCCTTTACTCCTACCGACAAAGAAGTGAAGCGTACAAACTCCAAGGAAACCGGCGAAACGAAACATTCTGTCAGAAATTGCCAAGAATTTATTCTCTATGTGACGCTTACTAAAATTTCAATCACGCAAAATAACATTCTAAATAAACTAACGGAGTCAAGGCCACGATAATCTACAATTTAAGTGGAAAAAGCATTCAATTCTTGTAGATACTTTCACCTTTCACCCGTTAGATAAAGTTACAATCGCGTTTAATTTATGTATAATATGTATAAATCACATAAGTCATCGTTACATTCTTAACTGTATTGTGTTCCTAGTTCCTAGTTAAACTGTGTCCCAGTTTAATTTCGATAAATATATAAAATTTTTTCTTTATCAAATTTATTATTGAAAACATTACACAAATTAATTTCCTTCCAATAAACACATTATTCTTCCTATACACGAAAAGAACGATTTTATTGAACCTAAAAATTTAATTAGATACTTCTGAAAATAATTTTGTTGGACTATCAAAATAATTATGTAAAACACTTAAGCATAATAACAATATTGCAAAACAATATTGCAGAAAATGTTGATATTCTATGGCACCCTGCATAATAATTATTATAGTAATGTAAAATTATTTTTAAGTTATAGATCTAGTTAAATTTTTAGATACTTTAGTTAAAAATTCGTTCTTTCCGTATACATGTTCTTTGTATGCTAAATTAAAAATGAAAATGCTACGAATCCATTGATCAACAGTCAATTTATAATAATTTCTAATAATGCGTAAATAATTTATAAATATTTTCAATAACAGATTGTATTATGTACATAAAACTTCAAAACAAGATTTTATTTCATACATTCATCATCATACATTTCTGCATAATAATCGAGCTGTCGCAATAATTTTCGGAGACTGTTTTCTTTTTTATCCGTCGATACCTTTCTTGATCATTTTCCGGTTCAGTGACTCTCTCGATCAAATAATACTTTGCGTTCCACGCGATGCCGACAATCACTCACACGATCGAGCTCTTTGTGTTTGCACCCGCGTATATATGTATGTGCGTGAGTGCGCCAATATGGCGACGTATCACGGGTCTCACGTTGCTGACTTTGAAGCAGGTAGATCCGTCCACGTGCCGACACGTGCGTATCGATGGATACAAAGTTAATCTCCCGTATCACATGTTAGCAATTCACGATATCGAAACATCGATCTGTTGTACGATAATCGAAGGCGCGGCTCGCTCAATCCGATCAGGAAATATTAAAGAAAAAATATTGAAAAGAGAGAATTTGGAAAATATAATTTATTGTTTTAGATATACTCTTTGATCGTGTAGTAATTTAATTCAACTATATATATAAGCAACATTTTTTTTACATTATTCGCTTTTTTATTTAATCTTCTGAAATAATCATTTAATTGTATAAAATAATTATTCCGAAATAATTATTAAATTACGCGAAAGTTTGTGTTCAATTTTAAGCGAAGATATTGCTTTTAATAATTAATATTTTATACGAGTGTTTAAAAAGTTTTACAAATTAATGCATATATTATATAAAACTGTGGAAAAAAATTATTTGTTTGATTCTGGCGTCATTTTTTATAATATCATTCGGTGAAATTTTATTGCATTCTCTCTGACAAATTGTTTTATTCTTGCAATAAATGTTGTTAAAAAAAAAATTAAAAAATCATGCAGCTATCAAATATTCTGTAATAATATATACGTTACTATATCTAATAATACATAAATTTCATTCGATGATGACATGTTTTTTACAAGATATCTGATAACAGCATGATTTTTTAATATCTTTATTTTTTAAAAGTACCAAAGCAATATAATATTTAATACTCTCTATTACCGCCAAAACAAAATGGCTTGAATAAAATAAAATTTCTCCGATGATATAAAAGATGATACCAATAAAATCGAACACTCTTTCTAGCGTTATCTATTTGCAAAACTTTTCAAACATTCCCTAGGATATTGCATACGAAATAACATTTGTCCTATTAAACTATATATTTGATAGTTGTACAATAAAATCGCGCCTTCTTAAACAAGAATGCTATATCGGCGATGATGATCTGTTGATTCACTCTTCGGTAAGAGATAAGAGATAAGAGATAAATTCGACCACAAGAATATGAGATCTTAACTGGTCGGTCTCATGACATCAGGCTCCATTTGTCCCTTCGTTCGTCCGTTCGTCGGTTTGTCCGTGTTGCTCAGCGGGTGCCATCACCAGTTCTGCACCCTCGCATCCGTCATAACGTTGTCTCTTCTTTTATTACTACCGATAAATAATTTTGAGCAACGACAAGAGACGTCCTTCAGATCGGAAAGCAGTTTGAATCAGATGATGATCACTTGTATAACGTTTAGATATTTTTTACTAAGTGCCAGAAACCTTTATATTGTAAGATTGATGTTTTACTTTTAGGCACTTCAAAATCTAAGAAATATAGAATTAAAAAGAGCAAAGTCTTTAATATATGTATACATGTATAACAGAATTTAAACTTCAAATATTGTATAAAAAAAGAATATGTGTATCGAATATATATTGATAGATTTAATGAATTATATATTCAATAACATTTTTCTCTCTTATTCGCTGTTGCAGGACTCGAATCTCAAGTTCAGGATTCCAAGGACCTCTACTGGTTCTAGGATCGAGTGTTGGAGATCGGCAGCAGGCATGCGGTTTCCTTAAATTCAGAAGTCGACTAAAGAACTGTGTTTCAAGTAATAAGAAAATTTAATAATACGATCTGATGATGTGGATCGTAGACGTGAATGTGACAGGAACGAGGACTTTGTTAAGCAAAAATGACGACTGAAATGTCCGTCGTTGTCATGTACATAGTGTTACCTACATATTTTAAGAATCTACTATTAGCGTAAAGATAATATTAGACGAATACTTGCGCGCACTATTACCTTTATAGTGACTGCTGTGTCTGGCGTCGAAGAAAGGATTGGCCGTGAAAACGTGACCGAGAATCGTCTTCAATTGATACAATAGTGTAGTGCGATTTAGACCGTCAAGGTACATCTAAATTTCCCAAATAATTAATATCTTCGATTTTTTTTCTTTCTATTTTAAAACATTAAATTTGTGAATTTGATATTTCATTAAAAATAAAATTTAAATAATAACCATGTACATTCGAAAGTCGCTAGAAACAAGTTTGATATTAAAGAGTTCGATTTTTTAAATTTATATCTCAGTACTACTAATCAGAATTATAAAATAATTATTTGGCAAATTTAGCTGCCGACTTAAGTGAAGTATTTATTGACCAATGATCTTGCCATATATATAAATATATTATTATTAATTAATTATTATTATTAATGTATCATAAACAATAGGCGCCGCAAATATTCTGAAATCTCCCCGAGTTAGCGAATTAAAATAGTTATTATCCGACGAGTCAACTATATTATTCTTTGCACCCTGGCTACACCCTACGCATATCTTGTCTCTTCATCTCTCAAATCTTTTCCACCTGCTACTTCATCGTTTAGTATCTGTCCGGTATAATCATCATCGTATTGCCTACATTAAGCACATCATATCCATCTCATGTTATCGCCTGTCTAATTGTTAAATAAATAATTCGCATATCACATCATTTGCCTTTTCTATTTACCGTCAATATTTATTTTTTCTTTGATTAATTAATTAATCAATATTTTGATTTTTCACAATTTTTGGTTTCCATTGATTGTTTTATTTTCATGATTTTTCTAATTATCTTTACGAATTAGTATAGCAGAAACAAAAACGAGATATTTATGTTGCTTTTTAACTAAATATTTTATAATATTTTATAATATACATATTATAATATATTATAATATATTTTATAATTAACGATATATTTTTTAATCCATAAACTTATTTATTTTTTTAATTAACTTTACGTTGTAGTTTTTGTTCCGTCTTTAATCGATTGGTTTTTAAAAGCATTTTTATTGTAGAAAATAGGAGTTTATATATTTCTACAATTCGTTTACAAAAATTAATTACCCGTCATTAAATTTAGTGGTGCTTCAGATGAGAAAATTAATCGAGCACATAATAAGAACGGAAAGTTTAATCTATTCTCTGTTTAACCACAAGTTTCCATCTCTTCTTCTGAATAATACAGGTAAGCGAAGTGTTGCAAATTAGAACATTAAATTTGCTATAAAAATTTTAGCACCGATAAACCATAATTATTTTTTTATTATTATATCATTTACGAAGAAATGATTCTTTGATTGATGGAAAAGATGCAAAGAGACACTTTGTTTATCAGAGGTTTTACAAGAAATCTTGAAGTTCTACATGTAGCGTAATAACACGAGGGCATTAATTTAAGCTCGTAACACGTGGGCTTGTGCATTTGTTTTCCCGACGTAGGCGGAAGTAACGCTAACGAGATGAGAAAACGAGCAATTAACTTCGTCACTTCGGCCGAGGAGGAAACGCGCAGATGATCGACGCGCGCGTTATCACGTGTAAGGCATATGTTGTTCGTATTCTACGCCCGTTCCAAGATAAATGGTGTTTAAAGTTATTACTGCTGCCGCTGGTTTTTATCATGTATTATTTGACTTAACGATATGAGATTGCGTCAAAACAAGCATCAACTTTTGCTACAAAGAGCTAGTCAACCATAAAATGCTTCCAGATTTTTTTTTCTACATAAAAAAATACGAGAAGTAAATTTATCTTTCAAGACGCAAAAATATGGTTTTTTATCTTGTCCCGTTTCTATTTACACTGCAAGTAAGGTTATGATATTCTAAGAATAGCAGTAAATTAATAATCCAGAATTCCACAATTTTCATTCTGCTATGTACTTGTTACTATATCAAGATTCAAAATAAATGCAGTTAATAATATTTTGTAGAAAAAAAAAATATATATATATTTTTTTTACTGATATATATTAATCTTGATATATATATATATATATATATATATAAAATGCAGAATGATGTTAACTTTATGCGTTATAAATATTCTGTAAGGGATCGCGTTTTATCTGGCAATTTAACATCGTCGACTCTGGCTGGGACATCATCCCAGCATATATATAAATCAGTCTGTTCTGTTTCTTCTACCGTTTCATATGATCTCCGTGTTTTCTTACGCAATCGTGCATATGCCTCAGACGCGGAAAAACTATCGACAGGAAGCCACGTGAAACTCACGTGAACAGCAACGAAATCTCGAGCTTCCTAATATATCTTCATTATCTCTTTTAAATATTATTCAACCAAAGGAATTCAATTCTCTATAATGACAGATTAACATTAAATAAAAATATATCATAATCAAAGTTCGTTTAAATTAAATTAAATAATTTTTTAATTTATTCCATACAATGTATAAAGATAAACTCTATAACCTTCGATCCGGTTCCCATTACAATAAACGGTAGCCGCCAGTACATAATAAAATAAATTCAGTACATAATAAAATAAATTCTCGTAAGCCTTGTCTTGATTCTCAGATAAGAAGAAAGCAACTGACATATAGTGTAGCTCTTTCTTGTTACGAAATGAAAATTCTTTATTGATAAAAATTGAATTAAAAATTCGATTAAACACAATTAAATTACGTATTTAAATTGTTTATAAACAATTTATTAAATTTATAAACAAACTTTAACAATATAAACGCGTATCGATGCTATATTTATCAAAAGTTTAGTATGAATAGAGGATAGTGTTTACAGAAATAGTTAGTATACGGAAAGAAGCCTGAAGAATGATAAAGAAAGGAAAGGAGAAGGGAATGAAATTTATTGCCAGCCTCTAAAATATATTATGCTGTTGTAATTAGCAAACTGGCTTTTGTTTGGTCGATAATTTATTCATTGTTCCCATGCTTGCGATGAAATCGCATTTGCGAATTTACTAGCGCAATTAACGTTAGAAATCAGATTATTGGAAACAGGAAGGGTAAAATAATAGTTTCCTCTATCGATCTTTTTATCTGCAAATATTTAAGTATTTAAATATAAATACTTTATATATTTGTTAAAGAATATCTACATCTGAAAAAAAAACATTACAGAAATATAATAGTTTACATTAAATTTTTATATTAAATTTTTGTGTAATAGAAATATTGAAAGCACTAGATATTTGCGTAATAAATAATCGAACACTTGCGCGAATCACCCTTCAGTTCTCGGTAATTAAATACCAAATACATGCTCCCCCTTTTGTAACCTGCTGGGATGATATAGGGGATCGAATTGATATTGCACCAGTGCAATAAATGTCTCGACCGTGAATATGAATATTAATTTTACTTTTTGAATTCCTCGACCATTTATCACACGTCAATGTTCAAATTTTGTGACAGCTGTAAATTAATTCTAGTTCTATTAATCATCAAAATATGAAATATATCAATTATCAATTAATTATTAAATTTCGTTTTTATCGTCCCTTTTCTTTCTTTTAATATATGATAGCTATTTATATTATGCAAATTTTCTTAATGAATGTTTCCATCAGATATACCTATTTGTATCAAACGTAAATAAGAATTCACACGTGGCAAAGATGAATCTTCTTTTAATTTATCGAAATTCCTAGTTTACCCAAAATTACTATCGACCACAATATACCTTCATCTTTACCCTAGACCCCACGTGATATCAGCGTCTTCTCCCACGAAATAGATTTATGATCAGGGAATGTGTTCGATCTCTCCTCGTCTTTAACTTACTTCCCCTTATCTTCCTGCTACCAATGCGCTGTCCACGAATCCCTCATTACATAAATGAGCCGCGTGTTCTCTCATACATAGAACTGTAGAACAGGGACATTCGGCTATTTCTCGTGGCTGACATAGGCGTAGATAAACGCACAGATATAATCGTGGTCATGCTGACAGAAGTCTCTCCGCTTCTCCTCCTCCCTCTCTCGCGCAAGAAGCTACCTGCTCTGCGGGAGACCCCTTCAGGATACTTCAGAGACGATCGCGGTAAATCTTCGTATAGCCTCTGGATTATCGGAGAATTAGGGAGCATGATTCGAGCATTCTATGGCGCAATCCTCGGGCATTCAGAGGAATGGGACCTGGTCGTTTTGGTCAATTAATATCGGTAGGACTTTTCTAAAGAATCCGGAAGTCCGGAAGTAATACCCATTAAGTTTGTTGTACATCACAAAAGAGTTATATTGCAATGGATTTTACGAGTTACGTACATCTCAAAATAAATATTTAGATCGTAAAATAATTAATAAATTAGAAACACAAAAAATGTATTTTCTATTAATAAAATTTATGGTCATAGCCAATCATATATATTAAATTATAAGCGAATTTGTAGCTATTTAAAATAATTTTCTTTTAGCTTATTCTATGACTTTGTCGATATTATTTAATTTCATTTATTCCTTTTTTTCATTATGAGGACATCGAACTTAATCGACAGTTTGCGAAAGCAGCTTTCATAATCCCATTGTTCACGTCATTTAGATACGACGTTGAAGGGATGAGGAATAAAATCTAAGTCAAGGAGGTTGTCCTTCCTCTTTCTCTCGTCGTCGTGCGCCAAGAAGCCGGCAAGCAGCTGCGGAATGTCTTCATTAAAATACTCGGGCTCATCATTTATGCAGAGCAAAAACGCAACGAGATGAGCGCCGAACGAATCCAACATCAACGAGATTCGCACAGCATATAACAATTCCTTCAATTTCCCTTTCCGTCGTTCTAACGACAGATACGGGAAAGTCGTTTTTATTTTAATTCACTAAATAAGAGTTGTATAAATATATAGGTTTTTTCTTACATATAAATTTTTGAAGTTTTATTATCTTATTTTATTTTGTCAGAAATTTTATCAAGCACCATTTTTTCGAAATCTAAGTTTCACGCAAAAATATTAGAGATAAAAAAATACGCATTTTTTTTTTCAATTAAAGCTTCCTTCGCTTATTTGTGTTGATCATTTGTCGGTCGATTTTTACTTACTTACTATTATCCATTTTCTCTGCATTTTTGTAACTAAATATCAAATTTCAGTTCAAAATTTTACATTTAATTACAATGATATCTAATTTTTAAAAATGAATTAATTCGTAACAAACTTGTAATCAATTACTTATAGTTAATTCTATATTATAATGTCACAGAAATGAGAATAGAAAATTGTACGAGAATAAATGTTATTAAGTGCTTTTATTGATCTGAAAAAGAATTTCTAGCACGGAATGATTTATCTTTTCGCGATTATCCAAAGCGCATCGGCATAACAATAGTTACACACGAGTTCATCGTCAGGGTGCACGTGGGTTTCATTTAAGAGTCCTACTATGGGCAAGCACCAAGATCCCTATTCGTGTTCCAGTCACGTCTCATTTGGCACATTCAGCGTGTCGCGTTGGGGTTCGTCTATTAAAACGCTCCGACAAGGAGGCAGGTGCACGTTGATTCGCGAAATCAATTGCATTATTGAATATCTTCTAATATCTAATGTAAAATAAATATTAATATTTTTAAATCTAAATCTAAATTTAAATTTAATTCTCATGGCAAGAAAAGGATTCCAGATTAGTCAAAAAATATGCTATATAAGTTCG